TTGAAACGGAAGAAAATGAAGCTTGAAAAAATGGCTTCTGTGGACGAAAAGAGTCTGCTGTATAAATAATAGCATAATATGCCCCAAGTTCGCCTTTGTCTTTGATTCACCGAGTCTGCTTATTTGGTATTCTACAAACTTCTATATCCCACTTCGTCTTTTCCCTTGCCTTGACCCCTGGTACTCTCTCCCCCTTTCCTAGGTGGTAGTGACGTATCATAATATTTCACTCATCAACAAATTAGAATAGCATGATCAACAACTCCACTCGGATAACAAAGTTCTGTGTATTAGTGATTTATTGGACATTTCTAAAGCCTCTCCAGGAATAAAACAACCAGTACTACTATGTATACTATGAGAACAAAGAAATTTGAATTGAATGGGTATAGTATTGTTAAGTTACAAGCAGTCAAAGGAAGGGGAACCATCAAATTCGTCCGTGTTTTAGTAGCTCAAACTCCATTATTGAAAAGGGTCAAGAGGCGGCCGCCGAATGGATGAAAGGGTAAGCAACTTGACCAAAACATTGCAAGAACAAGTACTTCTTAGCCACCTCTAATTATTAGGTTCATCGACCTTCCGGTAAATAATCTCCTGTTCTTTGGCGAGCCTGTCTGACTCTTTCAGCCACATGGTTCGTTTCTGAGCAACGGCAATGTCGTCGACCAACTGTTCATAATACTTGATCAATGCAGTCCGGCTCTTTGGATCCTTCAATTTGATATGTTTGCGCATTGCTTCCTCCTCATCAATCAACTCCTTGAGTGAGCTAGCGCGCCCCGGTCGCTGGCTGATATCAGATAACTCGCTCTGACACCTTTCCACTGCTTTGTATAGTTCCTTCACCTCTTTTAAGTCTTTATCATCAACACCCTTAAACGTCATCAGCGCGAGAACGGCAGTCCAGCTACGAGGGTGCTTTGAGAGTGGAAGGAGGACTTTGATATAGCTGAGAGGCCACCTTGCTTTGACAGCTTGGCTAAGAAGGCTTGGTAGGCGTGCACTTTGGAACCCAGATTGGCGATATTCCATCCAGGGATACTTCCCATCAGCAACGGCAAATGCAATAAGCAGCGTAGATTGAGAGAACCTTCTGATATCTAGCAGCTCCGAGTTCTTGCGGTTGAGATGAACGGTCACTTCTAGATAGTGGCATGGTTCTTCCGGATCCTGGACGCGCTCAGTAATGGTAAAATCACCGCCGGTTGGGTTGAATGAGACTTCGAGGTCCGCGTTTTCTTTGCAAAGGCGGGCGTAGTGGTCTGACTTTTCTCCACGAAGGATGACCTCGATATCCTGTCTGTCACGGAAAGGGATCTTCTTTGGCCTTGCTGGCTCTGGGACCAGAGGTAACTTGAAGACTTTGTTGTCCACAGTAGGGGGTGCATATTCATGCTGAAGCCACTGCTCAAGCATGCTCATAGCTGCTGGCTATCTGTCTATAAGCCAGATAGAAGAAAGAAAAGACGCCTGTTGAAGGCTAGGAGACAAACAAAGTAGTATCTACCTGTTATAATATTGTCTGTAGAAGTTGACAGTGTGGTGTTCTTTGGACTTTCCACTGTCAATATCAACAAAGATTTGAACGTAAGGAAAGCACATTTTGGATTGATGCCGAGACAGGCTCTCATTCTGTCTGTTCACTCTTCTCTGGTCAATAATAATAGGAAGACTGAAGTCATATAAGCAAATTCATAAACCTCGTAAAACCGACCAGCTCCACTGGGGGAATGAATACAATGCATACAATAGTACTCTGTACTCCGATGTTTTTCTTTTAAAGGATAAGTAGATATCAAACACCCTTGGTGTATATCTCTCTGCTCGGGAGACACACACGCACCCTGAGGAATTTGAAGAGATGGTATGTGACACAGGCTGCTGCATTCTACAGACTGAACCCCTAAGAAAGCCGTCGGAGAAGCGGAAGATGTTGCAGGATAAGTCCACTCTCGCTTGCACCCAGTCTTCAACCAACTAGTCGGTGGGTTAGTTATGGATGCTCGATCTTTCTCCAGCGGCCCCGTCTCCTTCGTATATCCTAGGTTGAGAACTGTCAGAAGCTGGAGTCGGGTCCCCGGCGGCGAACATGGCCGCACCAGGAACGTACTCCACGATGCCATCCATCATCTATTTTTATCAGGCTGGGGCCCAAGGCTGCTGCTTAAGTATCATTTGACCGGCCATAACTAGCTGGTTTAGGCAGTCAATCCTTCACTAGCTAGCTAGTTAACTAGTTAGTTCCGAGGTCGACTTTTTTCCGCGTATTCTTGAGAGACCTGCGGCATGCTGTGTCGAGTCGCCGTCTCGTAACTGTAGCCTGGTTGGTGTCTGGTCTGCATGCATGCTCGCTCTCCAAACAATGCCTCTGACGAAGCGGTTGATCACCGGCCAGAGTGTCCAGGATGCATTTCTTTTCTTTTTCGTTTTAAAGGGTGGTCAGGGTGTTTGGCCCAAGTTGCTCGCCCCGGCTGAGGATGCCGGCCGTCAGCCACAAGACAGCCATCCGACGTCATCTGATAACTCCTCCATTGTTGCGAGTCAGCTAGAGTTTGTTACCCGCAAAGCTCCCCTCGAGCCACCGATGGAGCAACTCTCTCCAACAGCACCAGGGACCCATCGAGGTGCAAAATCTAATAAGCATTATCCTCCAGTTCGCCTCAGGGTAGCGGAGACTTCAACGGCGAAATAACAAAAATCCGTTCCCGCCGGTGTTTCAGGCATCGCTACCACTACTAAAACCAGTTCTTCTCGTCGATTCAGCTTCTCCATCAAAGCGAGGCTACGATGATCGTCGACCTGCAAGTCCAGACAACTCACCCTTGCTCCTTGTTAACGAGCCCACACTAATGCACGCAACCTAGGATACTGGTGATATCAGTCTGTGATCAGCCCTTGGTTCGTCCATTAGTTTGGCTTGATGCTCTTTTTTTTTTTTTTTTCTGGTCTTACATAGCATGTGAGCCATTCAGAGACAAGAGCCTTCCATCTCGTCCATATGAGATGCATCGATCAGATTGAACCAGAAATCTGGATTATCGACCCGGGCCGCCAGCTTGTTGAACGTAATAAGCCGGGATCGAGCTCTGACGGGAGCACCAGGTGCTGTTCTTCTGTTACATGACTTGAAATTGTATGTTGGCGCCTTATTGGTTACCAGCTTCCCATTTACAACCTTGATGGGGACCTGTTCCCCCTAACCCTGGATCAACCCACAGGAACGCATCTGCCTACTGCCTAGCTGACCCCCCATTCTCAAAGTGCCTCTTTTTCGTGTAGGCAGAATGGACCCTAAAGTAAAGTTTCATTTCACATGCCCTGGCCACGTTGGCACTGGGTTTGTCGTCGGGTTTCCTGCGGAGGACAATCATCTGAAAAATGGTGATGTATTTATTCTGCCCATTGCCCCTTGGTCTGGCAGACAGTGAACCTCCCTTACCCCTTCGTCGGTTTCCCCTGTGTCAGTAGACCTTTCCGCGATATCCTCAATTGAAAGATCTATTTCACTTCCTTATTGACTCCTGTCTGTCCAATACAGGAGGGCATTTCAATCATCTGAATCTATCTTCCTATACATATTTTTAGAGTCAAGATGAAGCTCGAGTCATGTGTCCTGTTGGGCCTTGTGGCGTGCACCATAGCTGCACCCCTGAACCCCAGGGACGCTCGTATCGCAGCGTCCATGTCAGTCCTTCCAGGTAACAAATTGCCGCAATGGTTGGAACATGGTAGCGGAATGACCGCAGAGGAGGCTTCAATACCGGTATTCGAGGGTTTGAACAAGCTGGAGGAAGGCTTAAAAAGTCATGGAAAGACAGCCCCTCCAAGTACACCGACCGCCAACGACGGACTGGTGGAAAATGGAATCCTGGAGCATGCGCCATGCCAGCCGCTGACTATGATCTTTGCCCGCGGAACCAACGAGGATGGAAACATGGGTAAAGGAATTGGTAGGCCACTTGCCGCTGCACTCCGAGCCAAAACAGACAACAAGATCATAGTTCAAGGAGTCAATTACGATGCCAGTATCGCGGTATGCTCTTCCCCTTATTTTACAAGGAGTAGTGGAATGCCATATCCATGCCCTTAGAATGTGGATGGTATGTAGGTCCATGGTGCCCTGTTGCTAATTAGTTCTCCTACAGGGAAATTTGCTCTTAGGTCTCAACGGAGGCCCAATAATGGCCGACCTCGTGAAGCAGTCAGTTGCGCAGTGCCCCGACAGCAAGATTCTTCTCGTAGGATATTCGCAGGGCGCAATGGTCACCCACGCTGGAAAGCTTTTGACACATGAAAAGATATCAGCAATTGCAGTCTTCGGAGACCCAGGCCGTTTAATCCCCTTCGCCAATATCCCACCGGAGAAAACGAAGGAATACTGCAACGAAGGGGACCCTGTTTGTCTAAATGGCTTTAGCTGGGCGGCACACGAGAGCTATGCCGTGCTTGCAGACGACGCTGCAGATTTCCTTATCAAAGCCTCCAGCTAACCATGTATCGGTGGCCACAAAATATACTTGCGGTGTGACTTGGGGTAGTTTTGGGTATATATACACACCATGTGCGGATATTATAGTGGCTTGGTTAAGGATGTCGAACGCGAGGGGTCCCACGTTTTGCATCCCTGTTCAATATATGCTAATAGCCCTGTTGTTATATATCATTAGTATTTATGTATATAGTTATGATCATGGATGTCTCTCAACCCCCCTAATATAATAATAATAAAAATAATACGTGCCACTTTTAGCAACGAGGTCAAAAGAAACTCGCTTACATAAGCTGATCCCGCCTGTGGTTAAAATCCAAGGCCGAAGCTTCACTTTTCTTCGCCCCTCCACATCTCACGAAGGACCAGAGGCCGTAAGCAAGACGACGAAAAGTTGCGACAGGCGAATAGTTTCATCATTGACTAGCATTTTTTGCGACAAAGCCGGTATAAGAGGGAGAAACACAGAAATCGACATGTCCGGCGAAATGGAAGTCGACCCTCCGCTCTCCCCAGAGCCACAGCAGACCGGATCTGGGCCAGAGCCACGTACTCGCGCCTCAGCTGCAGCAGTGCGCAGCATCGAAGGGTGGATCATTATTGCGACGAATATACATGAGGAGGCCTCAGAAGAGGATGTTACAGATCTATTCGCTGAGTATGGGGATATTAAGAATTTCAACCTAAATCTTGATAGAAGAACGGGTTACGTGAAGGTATTATACACTCTGAATCAAAACCTTTCTCCGTCTTTACATTCTGTCCCGAAATCAGTGAGCTAAGTTGTTTTACTTCCGGCAGGGGTACGCGTTAATTGAATATCCCACCCTCCCCGAGGCAGAGGCAGCTATCAAAGCCCTGCACGGCGCAAAATTGCTAGATCAAACAATTGAAGTCGACTTTGCATTCGTACGGCCTCCTCCGTCTTCCAAGGGGAAGTCTGGTGGCGGCCAGAACTCCAGCCGTGGGCGTGGTGGGAATAGAGGACGAAGTCGAAGCCGTGAAAGAAGCCGCAGCCCGGAGGGCAATAACGACAGATCTTAGGTGTCATTTGAAAAGCAGTCTGAGTGCGTTCATGGGTGAATAATGAAGTGACATGGATATTGATCGCATATGGATATTGATCAACTGTCGCATTGGAACTTGGCCCTGTCACCGTTACTCGTACGTACCCAAACCATTCGAATGACGGCAAGCAATGAAACACGAAACAGAAGGATAGAGGAGCCTTCTCTGAAAATTGCCGACTATGACACTCCGCCTTTGTGATGCTGGTCAGTCTCTTGCTGCCCACTCAGCGGGTCAAGGTCACGTCGGCTCCCTGTCATCTAAGTAGACTAGGTATGTCTGATAATGATGATCAGTATCCACGCACGCATTCTATACGGTATATACGGAAATTCACAACTAACAGCTTCTCTAGTTAATTTGATATAGCTCCCGTTCTCAAAATCATACAGTTCAAATCACCCCGATTTTAATCTTCCGATGACAGCCACATTACCTCGACAATTAGCCCAATGCTTCGAAACGCTGATTCCAAATTTCAGCGAGACTCATCCGCGACCTCCAAGATCTAGTTAGACTAGATACGTTTCTGTAGAACTTGAAAGCCCTGTCTGTCAACTATGTATCACATCCAACTTGGTACTTAGTATTTCCTCTCTTCCAGCCGTTTACCAACTCCCAACTCCTCTTGAAATTGATCCCGATGACTAGCGGGACCTCCTCGACATACTTACGGGCTTAGGCACACAGCAGGCCCTCTCATCCAGCCTGTCCACACGCCCCTTTTGGCCGCTTTGCTGCCCTATAGCCAAGCGCGCTTGAAACGAGGCCCCCAAGACTAGGCTTACGTAAGTCGATCAGGCTTGCTGTTTCTTCTCCCCGCAGCGACTTTCCCCGACTTTCGTCGCAGAAAACGGGAAGCGAAGAAAGCGCAGACAGACAACTTCTCTGTCGCAAGTCGGTGATGCTCCCGTCTGATCGCTATTCCATGCCACGAGGCATCTGAGCAATACAGCATCTCGGAGTTGCGGATGCGCAGACTTGCCTTCTCACCGCTAACTACTTGATTTTCGCCTGTTCCTGGCCTTCTGATCGTGCATTTATACATCCCAGCGCTGGTCACACGAGCACCAAAACTGCTGATGTGAGAACTCAACACCCTCATCTGGCGGCTATAATAGCCTGGACTGCTCTCATTTTCAGGGGATATTCCTTTCTTTTTTAGCAGACATCGATCAGCATGTACGCCGTGAGACCATGGCCTACTGGTGGCCACCATTCATTCTCCAACTTCCCCTTACTTGCCCTCATATGTATATCAACCATCCTTCTTCTTTGCGCCAGGACCTCGGCAGCCCCTTTCGATCTATCCAATGGTGATATCTCGCAACAGATCATCATAATTGATGACGACCAACAGGCCCCGTTCATTGGAACAGAGCCGAAAGCCAACGTCGAGTCTTCAGAAAATGACCAAGAACCTTTCCCAGGCGATGCAAGTCAATTTCCTTGGCCTCATACAAGCAAAACGCTAAGGACAATGCTTGAGACCCTTCATGTGATGCAGTCGGAATATTTCAGCCTCTGGCAAGCAACATGGCCAACCGGCATTGACTGGACCAAAGCAGTTGTGAATACCCACATTCTTTCTGCCCTCTCTCTATTGTCTTCCACGCTCGGATTTACAGTTGATGAGCCCTGGTCTGGCTGCTATGATGAGGCGGCCATGTCCACTGAGAATCTGATCAGTTATTACTTCCAACAAACCTCGGCTTTTTGGCATGGGGAGAACTTTTTCGGAATACGGCTCCAAGCGTATGATGACATGCTGTGGGTTGTTTTGGAATGGCTGGAGAGCATAAAATTCCAAAATCTGCATTCGGAGCTGCATTTTGGTCGTCATCCAAACAGCAAGTTAACTCCCCACCACTCGTGGCATGGAACCCAGTATAGGGCGCCTGCAGCACACAGGGCTCGGGTATTCTATGATTTAGCAGTGCGAGGGTGGGATACACAACTGTGCGGTGGTGGCATGATTTGGAGCCCTTGGCTAACACCTTACAAGAATGCTATCACAAACGAGCTCTTCATCTCAGCAAGTATCGATATGTACCTCTACTTTCCAGGCGATCCTATCGATTCGCCAATAGTGGAAAGTGAGCTACAGGAGAATGGGTTTGTTAGTCTACCCCGCGATCCAATCCATCTCGACGCAGCTATAACAGCCTATAAGTGGCTCAAAAGCTCAAATATGACCGGAGCCAACGGTCTGTACGCAGATGGATTTCACATACATGGATGGACTCCGAACGATTCTGGGACGGGCAAATGTGATGTTTTGAACACGATGGTGTACACCTATAACCAAGGAGTTATACTGAGCGGGCTCAGGGGTCTTTGGTTAGCCACTGGAGATAGGCGCTATTTTGAAGATGGTCATGATTTAGTCAGAAATGTGATAAAAGCCACCGGTTGGCCAGCAAAATCAGATCACACTTGGCATGGACTGGGGAGGGCAGGCGTCTTAGAAGATGCATGTGATAGTACTGGTTTATGCTCGCAAGACGGACAAACCTTTAAAGGCATATTCTTCCATCATTTCGCGGAATTTTGTCGACAACTTAGTCCCCAAGAGAAGAGGATGCTGTCTGATCCAGCACTACATAAGTCGGCAGGCGGCAATAACACTAGCGAGCACGAGCGAAGAAACACATTCAGATGGCATCAGCGAATCTGTGCTTCTTACTTACATTGGTTGGAGCATAATGCTTACGCTGCATTCGTGACCAAAAATGAGAAAGGCCTATATGGGATGTGGTGGGGTCCCAAATACCCCGACGGCGAGCTGAGCAATAGTGATAGCGCTGTTGTGTTGCCGCATGGTGCCGTGGATTACAGCAACTCCGATCCTCCAATCAATCGTGCTAGCCCTGACCTTGCACTCCTACAGGCTCAGGGAAACCGAACGTATTTTGCCAAGGAAGCTCCTAGCGACATCGTTGGTGATCAGCTGCGTCCTTTCCCTCATGAATTCCAAGACACTGTGGTTTCCAGGCCGGAAGGAGGAGATCCTGGTGCCGGACCCAATGTTGCCAAGGCAGTGAAGGATGTGAATGACCGTGGAAGAGGCCGTACGCTAGAAACGCAATCGGGAGCGCTCGCAGTGTTCAAAGCTCTATACCAATGGCACACGACACCCTCCTTGAGGCGTTAACTTGAACCTCTGACCCATTTTCCGTAAATTACTTGGAACGACTGTACATATGATGCTTGTAAACATCTCTTTTGTACCTCCAACTTGAACTTTGGCTTTCAAAGACTAGGGATACAAGGCACCAAACAGAGGCAGCGGGCGTTTGTTGTTCAAGATATTCTTATATATCATTAGTCACTGCTATCAATAGATTCTCATTAACATTGAAATACCTGCTTTGTCAAGCAATGATTTTTGTGAAACGATATCTTGACATTTAGTCCAGCTATTTGCAATTATCTTCCACTTTGTTTGAGTCTGCGTATCCTCAAACAGAAAGCAACAAGGATTGGTTAAGGTAACAAAAAGAGGTCTAAAGGAGAGTCAATAATAAAGAATGTAGGCCAAGTCCAAGCAGCTCGCCAACCTCTCAGCTATATACCAAGTTGCCCCAGTATGTGAGTCCCGTATATAAACGTAGCTTGTCATACCAAGGTACGCGCCAAGGTAGAAAAATGTACAGAAAAGAAATAGAAAGTAAATGACGAATAGAAGATAAAGGTAGAAGCTAAAGATAGAAGTTAAAGATAGCAAAGAGAAAGGGGACGTCCTACCTACCCTATTATATATATATATATGCCCTCGCCATAAACCGAATGTCCCAAATTACCGGCAAGTCCCTTACCCAAAGGGACAGCCAGTGGTGTGGTTTTGGTCCAGCCTTTGACGGGCAATTTTAACATCTTGGTTGATGGTCTTTTTGGCTAGGATCCAGGATGGACCTAGCTCTTCTAACCGATACCCACGAGGGTAATATTCGTTACCATTATCCCCTGGCAAAGGCAGGCCAAGAACTCTTCTAACAATGGCAGCGGGAGAAAACCAGCGTGATGATATTGTCGGTTTGATGTAGAAAGGTTTGGAATCGTATGTTTGTAGATAATACCTGCCATCCTTGTCGGCCTTTGTACTCAGTGGTTGAAAGCGCATGCATGAAGGACGAGGCGGAAAGAAGTAGCGGACTATGAAACGCCGAGCATTGAGTATGGTTTTGACAGAGATCTTGTAAAGGTTGGATGATTCAGGCAACCTATATGCGTTGTAGAGGTGGTTAGAATATAAAGAGGTACACAAACAAAAGAGCTGACGGTATACATACATTAGCGCCTTTATCATCCGATCTTCGAGTAAAGCAAATATCATTTTCTTTGCTGTCGGCTTTAGGAAGTCAGGGACGATATAGAGTATGATACCAATGGCGGAGAGGGCAACTAGCTGGTTGCTAGCACAGGGAACCATGTTCTTTTCTTCATATTGATCCCCCCATTCCGTAACTTCCTCAAGCCAGTGGAGACCATCTTTCCAGCCAGACTTAGAAGACGGGAGCTGAGAATAGTCAATTTCCATACAGTCACCGATATCTTTCCAAAAGGTTCCCAAGGCACACTTCTCCATGTCTGTAAGTTCACGCCAGTCATATTTACCAACCCACCGGACAGGGAGATAGGCAAAAAGCCCGAGAGTATATAGCAGATCATCGTTTGAAATTTGGCCGGCTCTCTGGTATGTTTGGTGGATATTATTCATTCGAGATATAGCCTGTAACGCCCTTTCATCGTCAGGTGGAAAGGCGAGAAATTCGGCTATCATGACAGAGGTCATGGAATATCGAAGGTGAACACGCTCCGAAGGGAGCTTATTTGTCCTGACCAGCAAACCGGAAATGGAAGGTATACCGTTCACCTATATGTATATATATAAATTAGCACATATGATGCTAGGATTATGCATGAACGTCAAAAAAAACCCCGGGTAAATTGTTGCTTATCATACCGAGAAAATGGCAAACTTAAGTGCAAGCATGAAGAAAAAGGAGGTCTCTGTGTCCATAAGATCAAGTTGGATAGCCCAAGCATCGCGGACAGTCATTTTGGCAAACGAATCTCTCGTAGGGAAGTTAAAGCGTTTCCTCCTTTGCCGCTCTCTCGAGTGTCGTAGGATCGCCACAGTAAGGGGCCAGATAACTATAAGGGTAAAGGCAACTTGAGCCCAGCTGAACTGCATCCATGACTGACTTTCAACGGGATTTGGGGTAGTAGGCAGGGACGCAGAAGGCCATCTTCCAGGGGCGTGAGGGCTATACTCCTGGGAGATTAGAACGAAATCCAAGGCTGACTGGTTGGAGAAGTTCATTTTGACAGGATGCGAAGTATCATTGCTCTGAGCCGTATACCACTCTTTGATATTATGCAAAGGTACAGAGTATGGAAAGAATCGTTGCCTTTATCTATTTACTTGCAGTCCCGACAAGTATGAGAATACATGGTAGAAGCGTCATGTAAAGGAGGCCTTGTTCCAAGTTCTAATGCACCGTACTGATCTACTGTACGCCGCAGCTAGCTTTGGGGGAAAGCCCTGTTCCTTTCTTCCAACTCCATCACGTAAAACATGCAGCCCAAGCGAAAGACAGGAAATAAGCCACTGAAACGGTGGGATGGATCCTGAGCCGTATTCCCGGTTCCAGTAGAATTTCTACAAATTTGCCAACGGCGGGGGCATTTCTGCCATGGTAAAAGCAAGTCGAACCAGTGGGAAAAGCCACAGAAGAAGATGGATGGCATATTGGTCGGCCTAGAGGCCTACGCAAACGTCTGGAAAAAAAGAAATTCAATGACTACTTGTTGCCGGAACGGTCGGCGAAGGGGGTTTAATGCAGTCATGAATGGTCCACGGGATATCATCCAACTGCCTACAGGCGATGAAACGGCCGATTGCAAGTCCGGATACATCAGAGGCGCGGTAGTCTCTTGGTCTAGAGCTAGCGTAGATGACAACCTCGTAAATTCCAGGTCATTGTTGTGACGGTGACTTTGATATAATCTCCGGTAGACAGACGCCCAGAGTGAGCATGTAGTAGCTAGACATATGCCGGTAGCCTGAGCGGCACTAGTAATCCATCCCGCTGACACGGCTGAGCCCTGGTGAGCCGGGATGGGATGGAAGATTGTTGCCATGAATAGAGATAAAAAGAGCTGAATTTGGAACCATATATCATGGCGTAAATAAAAAATAACCCCATCTTGACAGATGATTGGTATGGGACCATTTTCCGGGTAGGAAAAAAAAAAAGAGATAGAAAAAGAAAAAAGTAAAGAGGCAAACCCACTCGCAGTAAGCCTTGTGACGTTATCGAGAATACCTCAAAGAAAGGTATTCGGGACCTTGGGCATTATCGCAATCCAAATGGTCCAGGAACAGGTCTGGCAGTGCGTCGAAAAGCAAACACAACAGGGCCAGATACACGGGTAATCAACCAATAGCCATCGGGTATCTTGAGAGGGGTCAGTCACCATGCCCTTAGTCATTGGGCGACTGAGACTTGCGGCTTTTATGCGTCTCTGTTTCGTTTTCGGTGTGTCAAATCTGGGAGTTCAAGGCACGACCGAAAGGCGGCGTCTGTGGTTGCGAGATATAGGTAGTATGCGCCAGTTCCCCACCGCACGCCTAGACGGCGCCGAGAGTAAAGGAATGTGGCTTCGTCAAAGAAAGGGTTGAAAACATAGTGCACGCCCAACTCTACGCACGCCTATGTTCGTATTTTCCGCGAGAGACGCGGGTCTTGCTTGCAAAGCTCCTGCGGGCTCGATATCAGATCCCAAAGGAAGTTCAAAGCCATGCTGGCGACAGGGCTGGCGCTAAACCCAGATAGGCATCGCCTCTTTCTAGGTGCCTCGAAAGTGGACATGGGATCAAAAGGGGCGCATCCAGCTTGATTCTTGGGCTGCAAAAGAAAAGCAACAAGGGAAGAAGAAGAGGGAAAAGAAAAGAAGAAAAGAAAGAGAGAAAGAAAAAAAAAAGGAGGAAGAGGAGGAAGGGAAAAAAACGAACAAAAAGTAATTAATTAAACGAAGGCCGGCGGTTCAAAAAGGGAGAAGAGGATGAATAAAGGGGGACTGGCCTTGTATCTCACGTCAAACGAGAAATCACGATGCGTAGGCGATAAGTAATCGCTGCATGCAAGGGTAGGGGATCCCATCCGTGGACATGGATCGGTAGCATCGATCAATCAAGCGCTGACTTTCCAAGGGAGCGGGTGATGCTATTTTTTGATATCAGCCACCCACGTCCCCCAAGCAGGAGAAATTCGAGAGATGTCCGGACTTACATAGTATTTATTTTAGTAAGAGATCCTCTTTCTCTCCGACATTCTCGCTAGCAAAACTCTTACCTCTCCGTATAGTACTCGAGATGGAAACTCCCGGTGCGCTCTATGTGGTGGATACTGCAAGATCAGCTTCCTTTTGATCGCTCGTTCGCTTAGACACTTCGTTACTCGTCTCCCTGGCTGATGTGTAGCCTGGTCACTTTCCAACTCCGATCACAAGGCGGAGAGAATACAAGACAACTTAGCCGCACCATGTGCCTCCCGCAGGTGTTAGCTTACATGGGCCGGAGTAGGCGGGGTTTTGTTTTGGCTGTGGTTGGCTCGATTTATCGCATAGGGTTATACATCCCACGGTACTTTGATCTGTCGTACCCAATACACAGCAGGCCACCTCGCAAGTTGTTCGCCGCCAGGTGTTTAGGCCACTCTTCTTGGGAGGTTCTGGGGTAGACCGCCGGAAGCCAATGTAAGAGCAAACCTGATGCGTCAAGAACGCTAGATCCTGAGACGACAGATTTCGGCTGAGACATGGCAAGGAGGGAAAGGGGAAAGAGAAAGAGAAGGGGGATAGAGTCGTAGATTGCACCCCCATCTTCTATGTCCATCTATCTGTGCTTTTTTTTTTTTTTTTTTTTTGGCACAGTGGCACAGTGAATTCACACTCTTGGACTCGAGAAAAGGGGAAGAACGTCAACCATGAGATACCTACCCCGGGATGCTCGGGCTTGTCCAAGATGGCACGGCAATTCAGATTGGTCCATACTGCTCCCCATGTCTAGAAATATCTCTGCGACCTTTGACAGTTGACGTGTGTCTGCTGGTTCTTCATTGTGAACGGAGCCGCTTCTTACGGGTGGAACACCACTTTGCGTAACCACACCTTCAGCATCTGATATCAAGCGAACATCCGTTCTCCGCACCTCGTCACACATTGGACATAGCAGATTATGCAAAACATGGCATATATAGCTAGACCGTGCAAGCCCTTTGCCAGAGAGCGGGTATATTTGGCCGAGCAAATCCTCGATTTGAGTACTGCGTCTGATCATGTCTTCATGTGCGAAGACTAACAAAAAAAAGTCGCCGGAAATCCCTCATCAAAAGGTCCAGAAATCATTCTTCAAGAGAACGAACCAGCTGTGGTACAGAAACCATCTGGGTTACAATAAACAGGCCGGATGGCTATGTCACATAGGACAGGGAAACGGCATATGATTTGCATCTTCCATGCCGGCAAGAACATACCCTCTAAAAAGCATTTTCCTGCCTGGTTATATTGGCTCGAACAAGAAAATGGGCAGTTCTGGTCCGCCAACATAGAAATATTGATCCTTGTGCGGTGTTAGGCATGTCAAAATGCACCTCATCGGCGAGAGAGGCGGTCAGACGCAGGTATAAAACAACGAACCCACGAACATGACATTACTGGATTAAATGGCTTCCCGAGAAACGTTTCGTCTTGAACCCTGTTTTTAAGTGGGAATAGGTGCGGAAATGGTCAGAAATGCCAAATAAATCTGCCGGCGATTCGAATGAGCGTTTTTGCATGGGAACATTTCTCTAAGCAAGTAACGTGTGCGGCCTTGCTTCCCTGAAGACAGCTTTTCCAGGAACCCTTAGGCAGAAAGACGAAAAAGAACCAGCACTTGATTAAGTCTTACTTTCGAGCTAGCATCCGCACCCCAGCCAGCGCTGCCGCCGTCTGAACACAGAATCCCAGGCACATGTCATGGGGGGTGGATGAACTCTCAGGCTAAGAGTTGAGGTTTTTAAGGCATACAGGGGAGTCAATAACCGTTCGTATTTCCAGTAGCCGACGAGCCAACCAGGACTGGCGAGAGGCTGCACAAGGTGACAAGACGTCGGCAATGTCCTCCCCTATCCCCTGTCAAAAACGCAACGTGGTTCCCGTCCAGTGATGGAAATGCATGGGAACCTAAATAAGATACACAATGGCACCAGGGATTGCACCAGGGATTGCACCAAGGATTGCCGAACGAGCCTTTGCTTTAACTGGAAGTATATACATATGCAAATGTCTGCTGCAGCTGGCCGAGGCGACAGCAAAGCCATCCCGCGTGGTGACAGGCTGCATGTGTATGAGCATATATATAGATAGCCGGAGTCGAGTATACTCCGCACGTCTATGTATAAACCAGAGTACCGGGTATACAAAGGATGCTTATATACACCTTGGAAAGTGATGCAGTTTGGTTTTCACCTGTCCCTTCTTCTACTCTTCTCCTTTTGGTTTTCGTCTTGCTTTTCATTCCCCGTCATTTCGCACTCTCTGAAGGTAACAGTCGGCTCACGAGAAAAGAGTGTGAGCTGGGAGGTCAAGAGTGGGATGACTGGGTTAACTCCATTAGGCGTATTTCTTGGTCGGTTGGTGTGTGTGTGTGTGTGTGTGTGTTCGTGCGTTACGTATATGCAGGCGGGCAGCCTGGCCGTCAAGGATATAAGGTGCGCAGGCTGATAGTCGCTAACTATGCATGGGGGGTTTGTATCAGCTAGTACTTCTCGTTTCAATGACAACGCCTGCACCAACGCTGGGTTGTCAGGTAGCGATACACCAGTATCCCGTCCATGCAGCTTCACCCACCCGAAGCTCTGCCCAACAGCAAGTCACTCGAGCTGCCGATGATACCAAAATCCTGGCCTCCATGTTCGTCCGCTCTTAACGACGTTGGAAGAAGCAAGACGTCTTGATGACAAAGCAGCTTGATCATGTGACAGTCGTCCGGATATATATAGCCCCGGCTCCGTTCCCTTTTCGGCGCCGGCCCGGAAGAGAAAGCAGAACCGCAAGAAGACCTTCATTCAGGCTTCCACCATCCACCGTCCACCATCCACCATCCACTGCTGTTGCTGTTGCTGTTGCTTCGCGCTGACATCGACTCCCCGGCCATCTTAGCCTGCCGCCGCCGGCCTCATGGACGACTCCAGGCCAGCTAGGGGGGCAGAAAGACGCCGCCAGAAACGAGCGAGAGAGCCTGGCAGCTTACCGCTACTTGGCCTGCTCGTCTCA